GGGGGGAAGAGGGGGTTATTCACTTACATGTTATCTAGCCGGCTAGTAACGGCGGCGTTTTTTTCGCGGCGAAGAATTCCGGGAAAGAAGCAGCTATGTAATGTACCATGGAGGTGTAGTGAAGTGCGCGGGCACGAGTGCGGTAGTGGTGGAGAGGTCGCAGCGTTGCTGCCGTAAGCAGTTTGGAAAAGTAGCGTAGTAGGCCGCCACACGGAGGGGCGTCGTCGTGCCCCGCCCCGCCACACTTTGCCACGCCAGGCCACGCCACGCCTCACTTCCAGCCTGTTTCGAACCCAATATCCTCTGGCCGCAGCTGCCGCGTATATAGCCCGCGTGGCCCACGACACCCACCGGGCCCCGCGAATGCGATACGATATGGCGAAGCGATCGGGCTCCCTCGGGGGGCCGCCCGGGGCCCCGCCACCTCCGCTGCTGCGCGGCGCTGCGCTCGGCCCGAGGCTCGGCCCCGAGGGGCCATTGTGTTTCCATTTGTTGCACGCGCCGCGTGCGTAGCGCCCATCTCATCTCTCTCTCGCTCGAGCCGGAGGAATATGGACGGGGTGGGGTGCCAGATGGACGCCCCCAGAGTGTTTCGCGTGATTGCCCCAGTCGCTCACCGCCACCCCCTTGCTGCCTTGCCCACAGGATAGGCCCCGGTGGCCCCGGCCCCGCGCCGCTCCAGGTCCCCGTCGGCCCCAGCTCCGACGCCAGCAGCGTCCGCCTGCCGGAGGACCAGAGCATCTTCCACTACTGCGAAGGGTGAGTGCCCAGTACGGCAGTTTTCCATCATTGTCGTTATCGTTGTGATTGAGACAAACATTATTGAGCGTTGTTGTTTTCTTTCGCCGGTCCGCAGGAACCTCAACTTCTCCACGGCCCACAGCGAGGACGACGAGTACTTCCACAAGCGGAAGCTATCGCGGGTGAGTTGCGCGCGACAACAGAGCAAGCGGGCCCCCCCCCCCCTACCGATTAAAGGGGACGAGTTCATTAGCATCGTTCGCTCTTTCGCCCCGACCGGCAACCCTTGATCGGCCATTTGCAAACGTCGATGGGCCCGGCCTGCCACCTGTCACCGAGCGGGCCGGTGTGGGCCGGCTCGGCTACAAAGTCAAGTCAGTCAGGTGCGAGCGTCACGTGTCGGCGTGTCGGGCCGGACGTGTCGCCCCGCCAAGAATAGCCCCAGTGCACCCCTTCCCCGCCCCGCCACGCCACACCCAACCCCACCACATCGCCGGTGCTCCTAAACCCCTTTTCCTTCCGGCCAGTACCGGTACAGGTCCAATTGCTTGATTAGCAAGCAAGCGGGGCGGGGCGAGGCAGGGC